AGTTAGGATGCGACGGACAAAAAGCCGCTGTGCAGGAAGGAGGTAATAGTGGAATTTTTAAAACCCAAGATCACGTTCCGTAAATTTCTCGAAAATCTCATGTCGAATCATTTTGAACTTGTTGTCGATGCGAATTTTGTAAAAATACGTAAGTGATCATGTTTCACTGGCATGCGTCCGTACACTGCTTACCTTTTTATACATAATATACGATCACAGATCATACTATCGTGCATGATAGACCCGAAGTCTGTGTTATTTTACGTCAGTTAAATCTATCAGTGTAAAACTTTCTGCATAGAATTAGTGAAGAAAATAGAATTCGTTGCATGTGTTTTGGTTGCACTCAAAAAACGGTATGCACCATGGCACAGAAATGTGTAGATGAAAAATGTCGGGTTTTGTTCACGAAACTGTCACTGAGGCTTTCTACTGCTGTTCGATTCGAGATATTCTGGTAGTGAAGAAGTACACGTTAATCATATAACAGTGATGTAATGGTTTATGATTATTGCTGTCGTAGCGTACAGTGCTTGCATCTATTGCTTTCTAACATAGTCGGGTCTAGAGTAGTTTCTTAGGGGGAGGAGCAAGGAAGTGAGGGGAGGGGGCAGTTTTTCCACCTACTCTTTTCCCTTCATCACTACACCCCCTCCTTCGTCATCTGCCAACTCGCCCCTTGATCGTTCTGCTGGACCAGCTCACCCCCCTCCCCCTCCGGTCTTCTTGATGAATACTAAACTAAGAGTGTCAGGACTCTCGGGGGGAGGGGGGAGGGGGAGAGGGCGGACTGGGAATACGAACAGACTTTTGTACATTAAAACAACTGTTATCTGAGTCCTTGGGACGAAAACCCCTCGTTCCCCCTCCCCCCCCCTCCTCCCCCCGAAAGGGAGGATCTGCCAATGCTTTCTAGTCATAAGTAACGTAAGGAAAAAGTTCCGCGCAATTTTTTAAAGATAAATTTTTCAGTTTTGCTTTTGCGCGTTTGAAATGAAAGCTTATTTGCAGCGTATACTGGATGATTTGTCACATGGTTCACGTGCGGTTGTAGAACGAGTACAGGAAGTACTGGCTGCACTGCATGAGGGATCACGCGGCACACAGGCATGCATCAATGCTGCCAACACAGTATCAGGTATCATTGGCGATCTCGATACAACAATCATGTTCGCCACAGCCGGATCGCTGAATCCGCAGCGAGATTCCGAAAAGTTCGGCGATCACAGGTAACATTAAATATTTGGATATTTCGTTTTTACAGAAAGTTGTTGAAAGAAAATCTGTTTTTTGTTTGTTCTAGTTGCTCAAGCTCAACACTTTTGCATGAATCTGTTCTTTTGTTAGACTTTTGTTAAATTTTGCGCTCTTTTGATTACAATTTTACGCTCACTTCACTCATTCTTCCTTTCACTCCCAGTGCTGAAAAATTCAACTTTTCTCCTTGGAGGTCCGCAAACCTGCCCACAGCCCCATGTCATTATAGTGCAACATCTCCCATTTCCAACTTATATATACACATATATGCAAGTGTGTGAGTGTGTGTGTATGTGTGTATGTGTGTGTGTGTATGTGTGTATGCATAGAAATCGTAGCACAGTTGCCTTGCAGATTTGTAGTAGCAAATATATTTTTAAGAGAAGCAATTCTGAAAACGGCGAAAGCACTGGTGGAGGATACGAAAGCGCTTGTGGCCGGAGCGGCATCGAATCAGGAGCAGCTTGCAGTGGCCGCTCAAAATGCCGTTCGCACCATCGTTAATTTGTCGGATGCGGTGAAAAATGGCGCTGTTTCGTTGTCATCGGACAATGCCGAGGCGCAAGTCATGGTCATCCATGCAGGTGCTGCATATTTGTTTAAATGTACTTGTAGATATACCGTGAGAAGAATTAAAATCCACCGATTGTTCGTATTTTGGCTTTGTTGACAACCGGTGGATTTTCTGGATCTGTTAATCTGATTATCGCATGATTGTGGCATGAAAGTAATATGAAGAACGCAGAAAAGAAGGCAAGAATAGAACGAACTATGTAATGCAAGAG